TACATTATATATGTATATAGATTATTAATATTTTGAAATAAGTTCCTAAAGTTATTTTTCCTACAACATAGAACAGTAAATAAATAAGTAAAACAATCAATGATCTCTTTTAATTACGACCATTGTACTCAGTTGCTGCTTCACGTAGGTTGCTAAGCCTTTAAAAATTTTTCTCATGGAGGATACGAAACAAAATATATTTTTTAGGTTTCATATATACATTTGAATAACTAAAAAATGATAAGTTACTACATGAACACCATAGAATTCTACTATAATTTATCAAGCTTAGTAACTAAGCTTTATTTGGGTCTAAAAACAAAATGAAATGTCGAGCAGACTAAAGACAACCTACCTCATTGAAATCTTAGTTCAAAAGAGAATAAATGGCATTAGGTACATTAGAAAGGCTGAGAAAACCACTAGGGGGACATTCTGAGCTTCCAATTGGTTATTCATATTATATATAGAAGTAAGTGTATATAAGGGAGCATTTCCAAAAATGGATGGGGTGCCACTGTGTTTGATTTATTATGTGAGCAATATCTTAGGAAATAGAAAGATAAGACCTTCTCGTTTTATATTCTAGCTTGTCAATATCTATAATTTGAGTTTCTAATTCATATGAAACTACAGACTTAGTATTTTGACTTCACAAACATCTAATCTGAACCAGTGCTGCATTCAACATACCATGTGACACATGAAAATCGATGTTTATCTGTATTTTTTAATATTTACTTTTAAATTAACAAATTGAGTAATGTACAGTTCTAAAATATGAATTATAATCTATAGTTTGATACCAAACATATTGACATAAATTCATGAAATAGTACTTCAATAAAATTTTGAATGTGAGTCAACAAACGAGATGATATGGCCTTTCACCTGTGACCCATTTTGAAAGGGTTGATAAAAAACCTAATATTTACAAATATACACAGCATAAACAGTGAGATATAAATTTACCTCTTTCTTGGGTCATACATGAACAGAAAATTCAAAAGCCTGATTCCAGCTGGGGAAAGCCATGGAAAGATGTGCTTGATGTTGTTATATCTGAAACAAGAATATACTATTTCATGTATGATAAAAGTCATCTTGGTAGCTTAAGAAATAATGGTTGGGCTATAACTATCTACATTAACCAATATTGTCTTAACAACTGAAACAATGAAACTACTCATCAAGTGCCTCCAGCTATATAGTTTAAGTTGAAAACTATATCAGAGGACAAACATTACACATAAAATTTTGAAAATAATCTGTAAAAAAAAAAATTGGGGTACCTTTTAGAATGCACTTTTCATGATGAGTGATGATTTTTAAGGGGCAAGCTGTGTGTGTCAGATACAACGGTAAAATAGCATTCAATATGATAATCAACTTGCATGTATCTCTGTAGGAGCATGCACTTTTATCAACAGGAGGTATTAGTAGCCATCGTTATAACTAACACATATTAACTGTCAAAACGGAGTCCTCCTATTTCACAAGCTCTTCAGTTGCCTTAAAACAATGGAACAAGAAATTAAAAATTATGTTACGCACACTCAGAAAGCTCTCTTCTAAGCTCATCTGTATATAAGTGGAGTTCTGAGTTGTTTATTGTTATAAGCTATATTTTTAATGGTGTAATTTAGATGATCCTTAGAAAAAGCATAAAATTAAGATTAGAAAAGCTTATGAGTGAGGGAATGAACACAGTTTTAAACATGGTGTCCCTGGGATCCTGAAGAGCACCAGGAACAGAAAATCAGATAATAAAATTCAAGTTCAGTGACCCTCAAAAAGCTAATCTTAGACTCTTATCATGCCCGTGTGACCTTCTGGGCACATTTTATTGTAGAGGTGCTATGCCATATACATAAGGATACCTTCCAGACCACCCTATTTTTTCCTTCCACATTTGGTCCTGCTAGTTCCAAAACTGTGAGAAGAGTTTGCAGACAAACTCACAAGTGGAATTAATATAGTATCATGCTTTATCATACTGATTGTTTGATATACACAACTGTTTCAATTTAAGTTTGATGTAACTGTTAATTTCAGTTATGTTTAGAAGCAATAGCTTAAAATAACAAAGAATGTTCAAATAAATACACAATTAAGATGTTTTTAATTGTGTACTTATTATAAAATTGTGTGTATTCATTATTTTAACATTATAGACAACTGCCAAGAAATAGTTTATTGCAGGTCTGTTTACATAACTATGTACAAATCATACATTATGTAGTTCAATTGTTGTGAACCCGTGCTTGTTGTATTATTGTGTCTTGTTACTAGAACCTTCAATTTTTTTCTTGTTCTTTTGATTGAGTATTACTGCATCATAATATCTCATAGTGTTTAGAATGTTCTAGCCCTTGGTTAGGCTATAAATATACATATGAAATGAAGGTCTAGTTAGTTAGACAGAGGCAGTGTAAGTTAAATAGCTAGATCTAAACTGCATGATTGTGAGTTTAGCCATAAAGAATTTATAGTGGCAATTTTTAAAGTGAAATTATCACAGATTGTATTGCAATAAAAGAGAAGAGAATAATAATTTGTCTTGTCAAATTGTGTTCTAAAGTAACTGAACCAGATTGTGTGCAACTTGATGGAAAAAAAAAGAGAGACAATTATTTAAAGCTCTGGTTACAACTGTGGTAACCAACAGTGTAATGTTAGTGAAATTATCATTGATTGTATTGTAATAACAGAGCAGACAAGAATAATTAGTCTTTTCATCTTTTCAGTTATGTTCTAAAGCAACTGAGGTCAGAGCAAGTTAGCTACCTACTTAGATCAAAACCTAAAAATCAACTCAGTAATGTCTAAAGCTAATAAAATATACTGTCCTTAATTATAAATATTAGAATGTATTGTTTTATCAATTGGGTATAATTACTGTTACCAATACTTTTGGGTATAAACACAATAATATCTCGCAAAGTTCAGGCAGCTTGAGATTTAGGATAGTAATAAATCCATACATTAAGCTAAGAATGCAAAGTAATCTCTATAACAAAAATAGTATAAATAAATATATCAAACATTCTAAACAATATTATAACAAAAATAAAGAGAAAAGAGCATACCTTGCTTTACTAAACATAAATACCATTTGAGTTTCAAATGGACAGCAACTGCCTGTTGTAAAAACCTACAAATGTCAGTGTGTGTGTGTGGTGTAGTTTGGTCTTTATATTGTTCTAGTGGATTGTGGAGAGCGTGTTATGATTGGTTGGTTAAAACACGTTTCTGATTGGTGGAGAGACTTCCTGTAGCCTCAACCAATGTTAGCCATAGTTTAGTCACCTCTAATCCTGAATCTCTGTTTAGTGAAGATTTTGTTGTGTTAATGTAAAATGATTCGTTAATTTTTCTTGTTTTCCAAAATTTGTCTGTGTCGATGATTCTAGCTTTTTCCCAGTTTATGTTGTGTCCAGTTGACATGGTGTGTTCTCCAATGGCTAAATTTTGTGTTTTGATGAGTCTTGTGCTGTCTTTATGTCCCTTTATTCTTGTCACGAGTCTTCTTCCCGTTTCTCCAATGTATGTTTTGTTGCAGGAACACGGAATTTCATAAATGACGTTTTTCTGTTGGTAGGTTTCTGTTTGTTCTTCACCAGAATGGATCTTAGTGTTTTTTAAGATTTCCACTGGATGTCTATGTTGAATTTCTTAGGTTTTCATTTCAGTTTTTCATTGACATTTTTCAGGTATGGGAGGTATAGGGTTGTAGTAGTAGTGGGTTCTTTATTTTTCTTTTGGTTGTGGTCTTCTTCAGGGAGTTCATGATGAAGGAAAAGGTGTAACCATTCTGTTTAAAACATACAATGGTTACATCTGTTCCTTCAAGAAAAATTAAAGAATCATTTTACATTAACACAATAAAACCTTCACTAAACAGAGATTCAAGATCAGAGGTGACTCAATTGTGGCTACCATTGGTTGAAACTACATGAAGTCTCTCCTCCAATCAGAAACGTGTTTTAACCAACCAATCACTACACGCTCTCCACAATCCACTAGAACATTATAAAGACTAAACTACAGCACACACACACACACTGACCTGAAGATGAAAGGCGGAAGATTTTCGAAACATCGTCCTCTACATTTGTAGGTTTCTACAACAGGCAG